CCCTGAGGGAAATGGGAAGGGGCTGGAGAATCCCTGAGGGAGCTGGGGGGGCTCAGCCTGGAGAAAAGGAGGCTCAGGGGGAATTTCTGGCTCTGCACAACTCCCTGACAGGAGGGGACAGCCGGGGGGATTTGGGATCTGGGAACAGGGACAGGAGGAGAGGGAACAGCCTCAGGCTGGGCCAGGGGAGCTCAGGATGGATTTTGGGGAATTTCCCTATGGAAAGGGTGGTCAGGGATTAGAAATGCCCAGGGAGGGTTGAAGTGCCCATCCTGGAGGTGACACTCAGGACTCTGGGCTGGGGACAAGGTGGGGATTGGGCACAGCAGGGATTTGATGCTCTGGGAGAACTTTTCCAACTTCAATTAATTTGGGATCCTGCATCTTTTCCTTTGAACCTGGGCTTCAAGATCCACTCTGACCAGGCACTGCACATTCTTTAGCAGCTGTTTTGGAGCTGCTTTGGGATCAGTTGTTTCCCCTCTGCAGGTTGCCTTACACCCTGGGGAACCTCCCTCAGCTGAAATTCCTGGCACTGGAGGGAAATCCTTTGAGAACCATTCGGAGGGACCTGCTGCAGGTAAGCCCTGGGGTTTGGGAGTGTGTGTGTGTGAATATCTGCACAGGAGAGGGTCCAGAGGAGGCACCAGGATGAGCAGAGGATGGAGCAGCTCTGCTGGGAGAGCTGGGAATGTTCACCTGGACAGGAGAAGCTTTGGGGTGAGCTCAGGACTTGAAGGAGCTGCAGGAAAGATGAAGAGAGAAAATTCCCAAGGGATGGAGGGACAGCACACAGGGAAGGCTTCAAAGTGCCAGAGAGCAGGGCTGGATGGGAAGGAATTGGGAAGAATTGGGAAAGAATTCCTGGCTGAGAGGGTGGGGAGGGGCTGGGATGGAATTCCCAGAGAAGCTGGGGCTGCCCCTGGATCCCTGGAAGTGCCCAAGGCCAGGCTGGACATTGGGACACCCTGGGACAGTGGAAAGTGTCCCTGCCATGGCAGGGGTGGAATGAGATGGGATTTAAAGTCTTGTCTTAATTAAGGATCTAGAATTCATTTCTCTTGTAGGGAAGCAGCAAAGGGAGGGTGTGAGTTGTTCCCAAGAAAAGGAGTCTTTAGGGGGGGTTGGAGCAGGCCCCTGTCCTGCTGCAGAATTCAGAATTCCCTGGTATTTTTTCCCTGGCAGGCCCCTCTCCTCAGTGGTGCTGTACATTCCTACTTCTGTGCCTTGGCCAGGGTTGTAAAATCAATGTTCCCAAAGCACTGGGGTGCTCCAAAACTAAGCAGAAGTGACAAGTGTGTGCTGCAATGAGCTGTGTAACATCTGTCAGGAGAGGGAAAGCCTCGTGTGCCTGGCTGAGGGAGCAGAGTGTGCTGAGTTAATGAGCCCTTGGCCAAAATGCTCCTGGAAAAAAAAAAAAAAAAACCTTGACTCAGGGCTGCTGGAATTCTGCTCTTCCAGGATTCCTGAGGATTTGCTGCTTCAGCTGCAGTTATCACTCCTGGGCTGTATTTCCCACCTGGAGCAATGGCCATGCTCTGTTTGTGCTGCCTGGATCCATCACCAACACTGTAAATTCATTCACTGCAAATTTTCTCTGCCTGGCTGGATTTTTTCCACTTGATTTAGAGGAGCAATTGATGGAGGAGCTTTAGGGCTCCCCAGGCACTGCTTGGAGCAGGTGGATACTGAGATAAAGGACTGGGTGTAGAGGAGCAGCAGAAT